GCAGTCCGCAGAGCTGGAGCCTGCTGCAACCTGTAACCCCCAGAGATGAGCCTTGTTTTTTATTTTCCTTCAGACTTGTCCTAGCTTCCAGCAGAAGTCACTGCAGATACCTTCACCAGAAGGTCACACGAAAAGCCTGGTTCTCCAGTTTGAAGGTTTGCTTCTAGGCCAACCACTTCTGCAGTTTGTTCTTGTTGCTTACCAGAACCTGTCCCCAGCCTGCTGGAGGAGCTGGATCCCTGAGGCTGCACTAGACTCAGGATGAGGTTCAGGAGTGCCCTGCTGCTGGTGGTTCTTTCCCCTGGTGCCCCGCAGCCCACCCGACGCTGCTCCTGCTGCCCTGGTGCCAGCCAGATGGCAGCTGCCCCCGGGGCCGGCAGTGGCCGCAGGGGCAGAGCCGGGCACTCAGACCCGCCCCTGTGGGGTGCTGCCTGAGCCTTCGGGCGCCTGCCCTCTCACCACCTCTCCACGTCACACTCTGCTGCAAGCAAGGTGCAGGTCAATCACATCTGCCGAGTTAACGACAGCTCCTTCCTCAGGTCTTCTCTTCTCCTGAAGCTTCATTAGCTTCAGTTTAACTGCGGCACACAGCAAAGGCTACGCAGGCAGCCACCAGCACTGGCCCCTTCTGGCATCCTCTGTGAGGCTGTCCACCTTGCTAGGGAGCATCACCGAAGCCATGCTCACCTTACCCCTGCTGGTCTGGTGCCAAGAGGGCTCTGGGCCAAACCTGCTGAGGAACTTAACTTGGGCTGAGTGCCCAGCTGCCACCAGGTCTGGAGTCACAGGCTGGAGCTAAGCAAGGCTCATAAAAGCTTCCCCCAGGTCCCCCTTGCCGGGCACAGGCCTACCCCCGGCCTGTTATGGAGGCAGTACTCTGGTCTCACAGAAGGTGGTTGTCAGTAGAGCCCGTTGTGTTCCTGTTCCTTACCCTATTCTGGAGGTCCCAACCAGCTGCTGGGGTCCTGCCAGCACACGGCGCGAGGACCCCTCGATGCCACACCCACCACACCAAGCGCTGTGAGGTCTGCCCCAGGACACGGAGCCCTGCAGCCAGCAGATTTGTCCTGAGATACTGATGGAGCTGGGGAAGAAACCCTCACATTGCACAGCTGCTGGAGGCAGAGAACCACATGCAGTGTGTTGTAGGATCCCCTGCGCAGGGAGGACTCCAGCAGCAGTGAGTAACTGGTCCAGCACAGGCTGCGGGGGAGGAGTCCGCAGAGAAGCAAGCGCTGGCTCTTGCCATGGCAACTGCTGCAACACAGCAATGCCTTTGAGGCTGCTGATCCTTGCTGCGGCTCACACACAGCCTGAAATTCAGAGCACAGGGCAACAGCCCATCTCTGTTCACCCACTGCCTCACTCCTGACTTTCCCCGTCAGCACATTCTGGGCCGAAGAGCATCAGGACTGCAGCCCAGGATGGCCAGTCACAGCTCACACCACCCACCTGCAACACAGGATACTGCTCCTCTCCAGCCTACAAGCACAGAATCATTTTGGTTAGGAAAGACGTTTAACAGTATGTTCTCCAATCATCCCCCAGCACTGCCAGGTCCCCACTGCCCCGTGTCCCTCACACCACATCTCCACGGCTTGGAAACCCCTCCAGGGGTGGGGACTCCACCACTGCCCTGGGCAGCCTGGCACAGCCCTGGGCAACCCTCCAGGGGGACAAATTGTTCCTCAGGGACAACCTCAACCTCCCCTGGGGCAACTTAAGGCTGCTTCCTTTTGTCCTGTAGAGCTGTGGAGAGCCAGGTGGTCTCATTTGAGCCTCCTTTGCTTCAGGCTCAGCACCCCCAGGTCCCTCAGCTGCTCCTCCTCAAACTTGGGCTCTAGACCCTTCCCCAGCTTCATTGCCCTTCTCTGGACATACTCCAGCCCCTCAAGGTCCTTCTGGGAGTGCCAGGTTCCTGCAGAGAAAGCCACAGCTCCCAGACTGCTTTCCACGAAGAGAATTAGTCGTCTTACCATCAGCTGACCTGTCCCAGCCACCGAGAAGCCGCAGACGAGCCCACTGGCTGTGAGGAACAGCCAAGCACTGGCCCCACACAGGTCCCAGAGCTGCATGTCCTTCAGGCAGCCAGCCCCTGCCGTGGCAGCCTCAGAGCTGTTCACCGGCTGGTGCTGGGCACCCCCCGTGCACACTGCCCCCTCTGCCAGCCGCCCCCACCAGTGGCACGAGGCCC